AGGATAACAATTACGAAAACAGGGTAATCACCAATATCACATAGATTAAAGTCACTCATTTGGAGTCCGCGCTAACGCACCCTAGCACAAGAATTGAGATGTCATGCACTATCATTGCCTGCTTAAAGTCCAAATGGTGGCCGAAAAATAGTCTGGAAGGTCATGAGTTCGCTGGAAATTGGGCAAACTTTAAATCGTTAAAATTTTCTCATTTCTCAACCAAATCACACGATCCAACCATGAAAATTCATCAACACATCATGAGGAATCCGATTATGGTGCTTAGAGGTCTCACCTTGGTAAGAATATATGGGAAATTGACTTGCAAAGTGATGACTCAAATGGAGGTTCTTGATTTGTTTGATCCCGAGGTAAACTCAAGTATCCAACACATGAAACATGTTCTTGGGATGATGGTGAACACATGAGGGTGTTTGCAAGGTCCAATTTGCTGGAAAAAAAATGGTGGTGGATGATGGCGTGTCTAGGTGAAGAAGAGTGAATGAGAGGGAGAGTAGCGGGAGAAAGAAGAAGAAGAGGAAAGAAGAATCCAGAAAAATAGGGACCAATCTGTGGGTCCCATGTGGAAGACAACAAATTTCACATGTGTTCAATTGTTAATTTACCAAAATGCCCTCAACATTTAAAGGTTCGTAGAATCTTTGTTATAACTCCAAATTACATTCTGTTTGTGCCCACGCGTTTGTCTCGACGAGTACTATCCAAATATATAAAGATAAGTGGAAACATACGTAGGGATCAAATACGCTGTAAATATAAAAGCGTCAAAACTAAGAATACGAAATACGGAATACGTGATTTAAAACAGTGAAATCCAGGAATGGGATTTCACAGCTTCACTAAGTCAATCCAACTTAGTCTAGTCTAAGCCAGTCCAGCTTAGTCCCTAAAGCTAGTCTAGTCCGAGATAGTCCGGTGCAACAAACACACCCTAAACCTCCAAAATTGGCTAAACCCAAATTCAAACATAAGACCTAACTCTAAATACAAAATTAACACAAAAAGTGGGAAAAAAGGGCAACAAAAAAGACACACAATTAACCACAAAACAGGAAGACTTGAAACGCCAAGAAGCCGACATGCGAAGCACATGAGCAAAGATGAGAAGATGAAGATAGAAATCTAAAAACTAAACAAAAAGTGGTGAAAGAGAAGCTGAAAAACGAAAGGTAAAAGTGAACAAAGAAATGAGTGAAAACGAAACAAAAAGGGAAAAACACTCTCAGCAGAAACATCGCTGATGATCAATACATGGAAGACATGGACCAAAAAAGCAGAGTAAAAAAAAAACCCGAAGACCATTTTGGGGGGCATTTTTGTCCCCGCATTGTCCATGAACAGTGCACCCGAGTTTGGGTTTTAGTATAGGTATAATGTATACAGAACAAAATAATAAATATGTATATTTAAAATATGCCTCCTCACATTGCCACGGGCCCACAAACCCACTTGGCATTTTGATTTAGCAATCTTCTTATTTAGACATTTTTATTTTGACTTCTTCAGCTCTTCTTTTTATCATACAATGTTGTATGATAATATGAACTGTTTATATTCTAGGTTATTATTAAAATATCATCTTTGCACAAAAAAATAAATAAATTCAAAATTGTATGGTCTATGTTAACTCACAATTGGGAGGTCAACACAAGATTAGTATCGTCACCCTTTAGAAGGCTCAGGATATAAAGCTAGATAATTGACAACAAGATTTAAGTGGGTCACCCTTAAAAATGGACTACATCCACCGTGGTGGCTTGATATATATATATATATATATATATATTGATGTGGATTACAATAGCTGTTTAAAAGTGTAATGTAATTTAACTCTCTTTCATGTGACCACTTGTAAGGGGTGATCGACCATTTTATGTAGGCAAGTGAGCCCTACAAGTATTGTGCTCTTAATTCTCTCACCGTCTTATCATTTAATGGGCTGAACACGTAGATACGACTTATAAGCTATTCCTCCATACTCAATTACCCACTCAACATGTGGAGAAGAAATGATGTTTACACATAATTACTTGCATGATTTCTCGGATCGATGCGTCTCGAGCGCATTTCTCGTTAGAAAGTGGTTGAAATGCACTCTATCCTAGCTAGGTCTAACAATATTTATGTCTCTTCATAAACTTCTTTTCTTGTTGATGGCCAACATATCGGAGGTGACATCTGGACAGACCTTCGTGCCAGAGAGTTGTTAGGTCTACCAATTGGCTTTAACGGTCGAAAAGTACTTTAAGTTATGTGCTCGTCTCTTCTTGTCAGTGGACAATCCAGGGTTATGAGAGGTGGTTGATGGTAGTCGTTTTTTGTTCTTGATGTGGTGCTTTGTCATCTGAATTCCTTAGGTTGGTTTGTAGGCTCAATATCTTGATTTTCTTATCTTTTAGTGGTCTCTCTCCAAGCTCATCTATTGGGATAAAAAACAACTACACATTATTTTAATGAGTCTAAAAGAATCATGTGTTAACATGATCTTTTAACATTAATCAATAAATAGACGAACCATGTTTTCACTTAAATACTGAAATCTTAACAATGCTAATTTAACGGTTAAACAACTTTATATTTGGTTGATTTTTTTAGAATTAATCTTTAAAGGGTGGCCTAAAAATTAGACAAATCTAATCATCAAACAACATTGCAGAACAAAAACAAAAACCAAGAAGCTAAAACAAGAAAATTTGAGTGTGAAGGTTGCAACACCCTTCTTAAATATGCAATAATGAAATCAATGTACCTAAATAAGCAGTATACATGTATTTTAGTTCAATATTTTCAGTGCTGACAAGATTCTAAATTACACATGTCAATTAACCTTATATAGGGTACCCGTCCAAAAAATAGAAAACAACGAGTTGGGTAAATTGTTTTATTTCTTTTTATCACAAAGAGGTACAAATGTGAAAAAAAAAAAAAAAGGTATCTGCGCTTTCTGCATTAAATGGATTCATGAACGTTATTAGTCACTTTCATATGTTCAGACCAAAATATAAAAATAAATAAATAAAATTGAAGAGTATATATATATTTTGTAAATTTGCACATTACTCTGACAAGGATGAGCTGTATCTGGGCCGCATGGGGAGCATAACGTCGACCGGAGAAATTGACGGAATTTGTGTTATTTTAGATACTAGAAAGTTAAAAGAAGGAAGTGCTATTTAATTACAAAGTGATTGGAGAATCGGTAATTCATGGATTAAATGATTATTTGTTGGTGCCAATATCAATATCGTGAAAGTTGATGTTTTAATCTTTTCAAGTTATTCTGATTAACGTTTCTTTCGTTCGACGTGTTAGTTTTGGATCCATAATATAAAAATTTGAAGAAAAATAAGAGATCACAACTCTTTTGACAAGCAATGAGCTCAGTTGAAATTTGGACGAACTATGTCGTTTAATGTGTTTAATTTGGATTTTAATATTATACATATTTTTATTATTTTATTATTTGTTTAATTTATCTCGTATTTGGAGCTAGGGTTACTATTTAATCAACTTTTTAGTTGTTGTAGTCCTTGTTCTACTTTGTTGTCTTGTGAATTTTCAATTTGATTTTGAGGCACTAAACTTCAATTCATGCCAGTTATGTTCTGCCATTGGTTTTGTCGGTTATTCTGCCAAACAGATCGACATTTCGTTTATTTTGTCTAGTATCGGCGTTTAAATCTGTTTGCATATGTGTTAAGTTTGATTTTTCTAACTTGATTATCCAAAGTTTAAGTACTTAATAATTATATTCTCGTTTTCGTAGCATTTTGTTGACGTATGCCGTTAAAAGTCTGATCTTGTGCTTTACATACGCGATAAAAATTAATTGAAAGTTATAATAGAATTGACGGTTGAGAGGTATTGACATGAATTGAAAGTTAAGGGAACTCAAAACTAACTATGCCTTCTTGTATTGAATTAATAAAATGATACGATAAAATTGACGATTGAGAAGTATTAACATGAACTGAAAATTAAAATTTAAAAGGTTCAAAGTTAAGCTGAAGGTTGAGAGAACAAAATCTAAAATTCAAGGGCATTTCTTAATGCTAGAAATTTATTTTTTACTTTATCCATTAATCATAACCAAAAGCTTGGGCGAAAGTGAAAGTGCAAAATATACTTTACCTAATAAGATTAGATGCCAACATGATTACATTTCAAAGATAAGCATCTTGTATTGAAGAACCAAAAAACAACACTAATTTTAGAAACGTTATAAAGGAAACGCAAAGCTCAAAGTTCGGGAAGAAAGCAAAAGAGAAAATTGAAAAAAAGTACCTTTGAAGATTTTCCGGCTTGAAGTTACGGGTATATCATGGCGTTGGTGCTGAGAATAACCAATTTTGCCTTGAACTTTAGTTACCGAAAACAAAAAGGAAAAATAGTCTATTTAATAATCATTATGCAATTGTTTTTTTGTGGTACATAAAATTGAATGGTATTAAAAATAAATGATTAAAATAAACATTAAAAAATGCAACAGTTGTAATTTGTCCGTTACACCGACCAGCACCAAGTCTTGATGAAAGAAGTTTCTAAAAAGCTAATATTAAATATTCATTCATTTCCTATGCTATATACTTTACCAAGCCCCCACTCAAAATCTCTAATTTCCACTTTTGACCATATAGGAATCGACATTGCTCGTGAAAAGAAAGCATTATATCCACACCCTACCTCCCTCTCCATGATGCTAATATTTCAACGATACTCACCAATCGACGTTAAGACAATGACTTCCACTCATCTCTTGATACCCCTCCTACCAACGTGACCCACTTCAATTTTTTGTCCAACCCGGAAACTTCAATGCAAGAGGACCTTCGATGCATGAGGGGGTCACCCTTAGTCACTAACAAACGAACTCGAACTCGAGTATTCAGATGAAGAAGTGAAGATTCTTGGTCGTTTGAACTATAAGTCATTTCGGATGCTGCAGAAGTACTCTTAATCACTAGTAGCGAACTCGAGAATTGAAATGCAAAAGTGAATACTCTTAATTACTTGAGTTACAAATCATTTAGACACATGTTAAACGTACTTAAGAGAGTATAAATCATGTATGTATATAAACAAACTCAGTACCAAAATTTGCAGCTAATTAAGTCCCTAATGAACCCTTTGCATGTTATTGTGTCATTAGACTCATTACATACAAAAAACAAATTAAATATCAAATTAAATCTACACCGTTAGATATTATAATTAATCAAACGATGTGATCACCGCCGGCGCCGGCGCCGAAGCTGAGTTCGGAGGAGGAGGTGGAGATGGTGATCATGCCATTGCAGTCAGAAACACTGTCCTGCAAGCTCAACAAAAGATGTGAAGTGCTGAAACTTGTACAAGGCTTCGTTCTTGGCACAATTGGGACTTGAGCTTCACCCACCAGCATCTGAACCACTCCTCTCATTGCTGGCCGACAATTAGGGTCAGGATGTGAGCACGCCAGCCCAACCAGCAGCACCTTCCTCATCTCCCCCTCATCAAATTGCCCCTCCAATCTCGGGTCCGCCGCCGTCAACAACCGCCCATCTCTGTGCAATCCCCACACCCACTCCACCAAATTACTACACGCTCCTGCTTTTCCTACCCCACTCACCTCCCTCTCAATTGGCCTCCTCCCACTCCCCACCTCAAGCACCACCGCCCCAAAGCTAAACACATCCGTTTTCTCAGTAGCTCTGCCTGTCAACAAGTACTCCGGCGCCAGGTACCCCATTGTCCCGGCCGCCACCGTGGCGTCTGGCGACTTGTCGTGCTCGATTTGCCTCGCCAAACCGAAATCCCCCAACCGGGCATTGAACCCTTCATCCAGCATTATGTTACTGGTCTTAATGTCCCTATGGATCACCTGATTTTCACATTCTTGGTGCAAATAGGCCAGAGCAGAGGCAACTCCCAATAGAATTTTTCGCCGGTGCGGCCATGGCAGCGGCGTTCTTGCCTCGAACAATGCCTTGTCGAGACTGCCATTCGGCATTAAATCATACACCAACAAAATTTCGCCCTTCTCGTGGCACCAGCCTTGGAGCCTCACCAAATTCCGGTGCCTGAGAGTTCCAATTATCGACAATTCCGACAAGAACTCGTTCTTCCCCTGACTGCTGTGGCTGCACCTCTTCACCGCGACAATGTCGCCGGTGTCGGATAATATGCCTTTGTAGACTGTTCCGAAAGCACCATGCCCGATGATTCTATTGGCATTGAAGCACTTAGTTGCTGCCTTGAGCTCCCTGTAAGTGAACTCCTTCGGCATTTTGATGATATCCGAAGCGAAATTCGAATCCGATTTCTTGACTTGTTTGACTTTCTTGGAGTAAACCCAGATTAAAACACCTGCAAACAGAGCCAAAACAAAAGCGGAAGCGGTGACAACTCCGGCTACGGCTCCCGGACCTTCTCTGCAGAGCTGGTTATGGCAGGAAGAAGACGACTTGCTGTTCTTCTGATTAGTACCGCTAGCATTACTAGAAGAAGACCCACTTGGCGGCATTGACGGTGGTGGAGATTTTACTGAATTGGCAGTTGGGTTCATCAAAGTAGTGCTCGGCGGCGGCGGAGACGGCGACCCGGATGGCGAAACAGGGGAATCGAACGACGAGCTGAAGCTCCACCACTCGACGCTGTGAATCTCCGTGCTTCCCTGGGTCGACCCGGAAAACCCAACGTACATAAAATCGCTGACGTACTGGGCTAGATCGAGGGAGAATGATAGAACCGGGTCTTTGGGTTTCAGATTCGAGTATGAAACCGAGACGGTGATGACCTGACTCGACCCGTCGTACTCGATCCACGAGTTCACCAGATCGCCGCTCTTGAGATCGATGTCGACGGCATCAAGATCGCTGACACGTGTCGACACCATGGAGTCCAGATCCAACCCGACGTGGTTCCCGTTGATGTCCTTGAACTCGACGTCCATGAGCGTGTCGAATTCGACGGCCACAAAACCCGACCCAGTATCTGGACCCGACTGAAGGCCGAGGAACCCGCCGGCGTCGCCGAGAGCGACGTCGTCGGGGGAGATGAGGAACGCGAGACCGCCGCCGATGGAGGAGGGGTTGAGGTTGGTGACGGAGAATGAGAAGAATGTGGAGAAGCTCGCCGGGACTGGGGAGGAAGGCTGGCGGAAGCGAATGGGTTTGGAGTATAAAACGCGGCCGGCGCCAGAGTTGGGAACGGCGAGGTCGCGGGTGAGCCGCACACTCCCATTGCTCAGGTGGGCATCGCCAATGAGCTTCAGGCTGCTCAGAGTCAAGGTGCCAAAGTCAAATTCGGTGGCGGCGACGACGGTGAACACGGCGGGTTTGGGAATGCAGAGAATCAGAATGTAAAGGAAGCAGTGAAAATCGAACATTGTCAATGGCGACGAAGAAAACCCATCAGAAAATTTTCTGTGGTATTTGTGGAGATGAAGAAGAAGATTGAAACGGAACGAATGAATGAACCACGGGGTTTTGGTGTTTCAGAGAGAGAAGCGAGAGAGTGAGGAGAGAGAGGGAGAGAGGAAGAGAGGAAGAGAGAGTGATGGAAGTTGTATTCTTTGCCTTAAAACAGAACAAAGAGGAGGAAGCAAACAAGGAATACGATGCAGAGGATACAGGAGAGAATCCAAGGGCGACAGGTGGACTGCCATTGCGCCACGTGTCCTTTTGCAACGGTTACTTTTTCGGTGGTGATAGACTAATGGATAGTGCAAGGAAGACTATTTAGTCAGCATTTGTAAATCATATAACGTGATTATAGATAATTGCATTTATATAATGTATTTATTTTCTTTTGTGCCATGTTACATATTTTATAAATTTATTCTAATAAGTTAATATATCTAAGACCATTTTTAATGGAAAGTTAAATTATAATTGATGGTTGATATGACAATCTGAAATTCTAATTTTATGTTTCTCTAATCGAGTTGTCAAATATTATTATTTTTAATTAATGTAGAGTTTTAAATGGTTGTATTTATTAAAAAATTGTTGCAACAAAATTGTATTGGTTAAAATATTAATGAAACAAAGGACCCACTATTAAGCTAATTAAAAATAAATTTGACATTGATGTCAAATTTAACTATAAACACAAATGCTTCAAATCCAATCAACAAATAACACATCAGTTAAAAAAAATAACTATGTCAAATATGCAAAGTTATATCTCCACTTAGAATTTGACATTTTATTTAGAGATTAACGTTATTCTAGACCAATAAGATAAGGAGGTCTTGGCTTTCTGGATTTTAGTTTGGGAGGCTGGCGCCATGAGCAAATATAGCAATGGGCTTTTACGGACAATTTCCGGTGGCACGTGGGGTGTAACGAGCATTTGTTGTCAGTTGTCACGCTTCTTTTGTTTTGTTTTGTTACCAATTATTTTGCTTTACGTGTTAGTCAATAACGTAGCCTAATTGTCAATAATTAAAGTTACTTGCATGGAGTTTTGAGATTTAACGCGGGTGAAAAACTGTTCTTACAAATGTTTTGTCACGTATTTAAAAGACAGCTACTAGATATTTCTCAATCCCCACATTATAATCTTATTCATTATAAAAAGTCAAAAAATTAAAATGATATCTTTCAACCCCCTATCATTCTTATAAAATAACCTTTAATATACCATTTATATACTCATTATTATTCGTAAAAATTGAAATACTATTTGTCCAACAATGAAGTCTCCTCTTACGATAATCTTCCAACAAATGGATGACTCTCCAATGCTCTGTTGTTGTGTGATTATGCACTCTAATAACTATCACCTATATCAAATTATCATTAGTTACTAACTTCTTACCCTTTAATTGGAGTGGACATTCACACTTTTTCGTTTCAAAATTTCTTCTATGCTCATTCTTTATTTAATTTTTTTGCGAATTGGCTTACATATTGTTCATTCCTTTCAAAACACAATGTAAGACTAGGATATGGGGTTTTTATCACAAATGGTCCATGAAATTGACCCTCACTATCAAGATGGTCTCTGAAATGAAAAGTCAATCAATGTAGTCCCTAAAAATAGGTGTCGCAAATCAATGTGGTCTTTCCGTCACAATTCTGTTAAAAATTCTGTTAAGTGCTGATGTGGCATATAAATGGGCCCCACAAGATTTACGGATTTTTTTTAAGGACAAATGGTCCCTAAAATTGACCCACACTATCAAGATGATTTCTGAAATTGAAAATCGATCAATGTAGTCCTTGAAAGTAGGTGTCGCAAATCAATATAATCATTCCGCCACAATTCTGTAAAAAACATTTGTTATGTGTTGATGGGTTTAATAATTAATTAAAAAAAACTTGTCTAAATACCTTTTTGAATAATGGAATTTTTTTTTCTTATATTAGAGCCTACTCGGAAGAGAGATCCCTTCCATAAATTCTCAAAGGCACAAGGCCTAAGAGGGGGAGTGGAAATAGTTTTCAACCAACAATAGACGCACCTCGGTTATAACCTCATTATCTCAAGGTAGACCTCGTCGTTCTTTACATCACCAAACCACCAGGTAAGCGCCGAACAAGCTCTCCAATATTAAGGTTGTGAAGATGTTGATCGCCTAAATGTTAACGGTAATATCTCATAAATGCTTCAAGATTAAGGTTGTGACGATAATCTACCAACAAATGGATGACTCTACAATGCTTTGTTGCTCTGTGATTATGCACTCTAATAACTACCACCTATATCAAATTATCATCAGTTGCTAGCTTCTTACCCTTTAATTGGAGTGGACTTTCACACTTTTTCGTTTTAGAATTTCTTCTATGCTCATTTTTTATTTGTTTTTTTTTTGCCAATCGACTTACATATTATTCATTCCTTTCAAAACACAATGTAAGTCTAGGGCTTCCATTACCTTATTGCGCCCAACCTTATTTTGGGGTCTTTTGATATGGGTCCAATTTTATAAGCTTGTTTTGATATGGGTCCAATGTATTACACTGTCATAGGTGAGGTCTAATAAGTCGAGCAATCATCCACATCAGCAATTAAAGTGTTCATACTTTGAAATCAAATTACACCAATTGCCATTGAATGTTTTATTAGGACTCTTCCAAAAATTAACTTGAACTTTAAATCACAGTTTCTACAACCCTAACCACTCCTGTTTTGAATATTCCTTGCGATTCCTACGGATTAGCATCCAAATTTGAATTTCGAATTCGTATGAAGCTATTAGAAATATAAGGAACATCTCTGCGGATGATGAAGGCAAACATGACAAATATCTGGTTTGGGTTTTTCTGGTATTTGCTACCTGGATAACAGGTATGGCACATCCCCACGAGATTTCAAATACATGATGCGCGAGCTTTATATGCGATTGTGTTATATAAGTATTGCTCCACTGGATTTTGACATTGATGGTGTGTTCAAGAGCTTTTGACATTACCAAGATGGAGGACTGCACCATATATTGTTGAAAACAAAAATCATGTAAAAATACATGTTTCTGATAAAAATAAAATAAAAATGAAAAATGTAAAATTACATGTTCCACCAGGATAGGTGTGGATGCAAACTTCTTCCTCCTTGATCTTGAACAATTTTGCACCTACAAACAAGGTTCTAAAAAACACTAGGCGCTAGTCGGACGGTGGGCTGACGCCTAGCGCCTAGGCGGCTAGGCAGAGTCCAGGCGGGGGCCTAGGAGGCCTAGGCGGATTTGTACTTTTTAAATAAATTTATAATATAATATATAAATAAGTCCATTTTTATACACAGAAAAATCATACTTGTAGAAAAAAATAAAATACAAAACATACAAAATAAATATTTGTTATAAAATATAAGTATTGTATAAAATTTTAGAGTTTTTTTAAGACCATAATTATTATTGGGTCTTATTTTGTTTAAATGTTTAAAATTGGGCATGCTACAAATCTTGAAGCAAAGTCCATAAACTTTTAATTAATAAAAAACCTACTAACCCTAAAGAACAAAGCCGCACCCACCCCCACCTTTCTCTCTATCTCATTTGCAGATTGCCGATTTCTCTCTATGCTATCTTTCTCCCCCCATCCCTCTTCACAGCAAATCGTCTTTCTCTCCTTCCTTCTCTCTCTTTCATTCCCTCCCTCTCTCTCTTTCACTCCTCCCTCGTTGGATTTTGTTGGAGATCTGAGGTCCGGGTGCGACTGAAGGTGGAAGGCAATGAGAAAACGGTGACTGCGAGCTCGAAAAAAGGCAACATAGTGACAAGACCGCCTAGCACCACCGCCTAGACACCGCCTAGGAGTGCCTAGGAGCACCTAGGAGCTCCCAGGCGGGTGCCTAACACATCCCCGCTTTTCTCCACCGATTGGCACCTAATCAGAGCGGCCCCTCTCCGCCCAGCGCTTAGGCAGCCGCCTAGGCCGATTTTTAGAACACTGCCTACAAAACAATTAACACCTTAGGTTAAGGCCAAAAGCCTCAAGCGCCCACGATGAATGGGGGGGACTTTGGCCGAAGAACCTCCGATGCCAAAGTTAGAATTTAGAGAGAGAGTGTTTAGAGAATTTTGGGATTTTTTGCCAAAGTGTTGGGATCGCCTTTTGGTGAAAATGGGAGCCTATATATAGGGATAGGCCGGTCCTCTTTGGAGAAAAGAGTGGCCGGCCATAGGTTGGTTTTTTGGAATGAATTTTGGTTTAATTAGCCAATTTCTTATGATTAATTGGCTAATTAAACATAAAGGGAATGTTTTGGTGTGTATGGGATTTATTAGTTAGCCAATTAGTGTAAAAAAGGAGAAAATGATAGAAAAAGGTAGAAAATATGATGGATTCTTTCTTGGATGGGGTTGGCTGGCCATTGATATGGTTTTGGGATTAAATGGGTGACTTAATTGATATTTAATGGATTAATTGGGTAATTAATCCATTAATTAACCAATTAACATAATAATTTGGAGTTTACCTTGCAAAAGGGAATTTGATGAGATAGACTTTGAATTGTTTACCTCTTTTGGAGCATCTTTGACTTTGTTGAAAAAAGATTGTCGACTGCTTGTGTGTAGAGATCCTGGTGTACCTCAGGAGTATTTTGGTCATTTTTGTCCAACAATCCACGTGTCGCCTTGTGATTATTTTTGGCTCCACAATAGGTAGTTACAATACGATAGGTAGTTTAGCTTGTACAAGGACTTATATGATAGGTAGTTTAGATTGTAAAACACTTATATGAGAGGTAACTTAGATTGTAAAAGATCAACAGAAATTTGGGTAATGCCGATAAATAAGAAACCTGACATAAGTAATTAAAAGCCTCCTTAAAATAGATTGATAAGTATTTCAAATGCTAAAAAATATTATCAAGAAATTGGAAAGCAGAAGATGAAAAAAACTGAAGAATTACTCCTTTTTATGATGGATAACTGATGATGATACAAATCTAAAACGTGGGAAATCTATGGACAACGTTTAAAAGCTATAAAAGGGTAAAATGGTGATCACAATGTAAAAAAGTCAACCTAACAACAAAAAGTGCTGACATGGTGTCCTAGTCATCGGACCTAAATAAAAAATAACTAAAAATTGGACTAATCCTAATGTTAGGCCATAAAATTGGACCTATTTCAAGTTACCC